TTCAGTGGCTAAGCTACAAAAACACATCCACTAGGACTCATCCGGTCCTAGTGTTCGATTTGTGTCCCATTGAAAACCATTATAAACGCTGTTATCCATTGCGCGATTATTTTAACTAAAGTTAATGCAGTCCCTTAAGTGACGGTGACACTTTGGAGCCCGGGCCTTAAAATTTTAATATTTTCATTTGTCCACCAGGTGGCACCATTTCTTCATATTTCAGCATTGAACAAACTCAAGCCAAAAATTCAGATTTTGAGTGTGTCATTGAGTGTGTCATTCTGCTTTAAAAGGTGAGTCACTATCAATGAACTTTATGTTTTTTGAAAAAAAAAATATAAAGGTGTTTATGCCTAAAAAAAAAAGAAAAAAAACACAAAAACACTTTTTTCAAATGTATTCAAAAGTATTTTCTCTCAGACGGCCACACTGCAATACAAACAAATTAAATATAAAAGCAAGGACCAAAAGCAAATTTGATTTTATTTTTCCCTTCAAACTCTTTTTTTTAAACACAGCTGTAGTTGAATGACCTATGCCCCGGAAGTAGTCATTGATGGACCGCTAAGAAAGCGCATTTGCAAAAAGACGCACATTGAGCAGAAAACGGAGCAGCTCTCATCTATCTCACACTATCATGAATCATGTAGCGACCCCAAATATCTGCAAATTTTGAGCGAAGAGGAGATCAAGGGGAACAGGCACAGGAGGATTTCGACAAACTGACGGACAATGGCGGGGCTCCGCAAGCAGCATACAGGTCTGCAGTGTTGGGGAGTAACGGAATACATGTACCGCCGTTACGTATTTAAAATACAAAATATGAGTAACTGTATTCCGTTACAGTTACCGTTTAAAAAGGTGGTATTCAGAATACAGTTACTTTGTTGAAATAAATGGATTACACTGCGGTACTTTCCTGTTTCATTTTGTCACGGGTCAGGCCTGTTTGGGGTTTGTTTGACAGCTACGTTCTGTTGTTCCAGGCGGCAGCGTTACAATTGCCATGGTTACAGGGCGACGCTCTCTCTCTTTCTGCGACTGTGTGTTTCCTGGGTGAGAGAGCGCCTTTTCGTTGTTGTTGTTGTGCTAAGCTAACAGGCAGAATGCTACAAGCATAGCTCTAAAGAATGTAGCATCATGGGCAGTGTAGTCCGTGCTGTAGGGAGAATGGACTGCCATACACGTTATGGTGAGCGCGAGGAGGGAGAAAAAGGGGAGTGGAAAGGTACGAGTTGTC